GGTGTACGGGTGTTGGGGAACAGTGGACGGGTGTGCGCACTGGTGTACAGGTGTTGGAACAGTGGACGGGTGTGCGCACTGGTGTACAGGTGTTGGGGAACAGTGGATGGGTGTGCGCACTGGTGTTGGGGAGCAGTGGATGGGTGTGCGCACTGGTGTACGGGTGTTGGAACAGTGGGTGGTTGTGCGCACTGGTGTACGGGTGTTGGGGAACAGTGGACAGGTGTGCGCACTGGTGTTGGGGAACAGTGGATGGGTGTGCGCACTGGTGTACAGGTGTTGGGGAACAGTGGGGTTCCTAATTGCTGTGTGTGTTCAGACAGGGGGACGGAAGTGCACGTGGGGCATGTTAGGATGGTGTGTGGGGAGGCCTAGGTGCCTTGGGGACAGTGGGGTGGCTGTGTGTGCACATGGGTGTAGAGTGTGCTGAGAGATGGGGTGCAAACACAACCAGCAGAAATAACAGCTGTAAATGTCCCCAATTGACTCCCCATGATGTCACGGGATTGGGGGTCCCTCAATCCCCTGGTTCAGATATGCCCAGCCCTCCCCCTACATATCAGCAGGGGCCCCACAAAGCTCCGAGGTGTCCAGCTAGCATCACACATGGATGCAAGAGGGGCTCCATGCGCCATTGCTGGCTCTGAGCACCGCTGCCCACGAGACCCTGCCTGGCCCATTCAGCCAGTGCAGAAACAGAGCCCCGGCCGCTGGGGACGTCAGCCCCTGCGCAGGGGACAGGGCCCCAGGGAGAGCGACGGGAAAGGAGCACCAGCGCTGCACGCCCACAGGCAGAGCCACTCCTCACCTCCCCCGCTAGGAGGATGCACACGCACACACACGGAGGATGCACTCGCACACATGGACGTGGAGGATACACACACAGGATGCACATGCTCATGCACGCAGAGGAGACCCACGTACACATAGGATACACACGCACACGGAGGATGCACACGCACAAGGGGAGGATTCACACACACGGAGGATGCACACGCACATGGAGAATGCACACACACACACAGAGGATGCACACACACGGAGAATGCACACACACATACACGGGGAGGATTCACACAGGCACACGGAGGATGCACACACACGGAGGATGCACACACATGCACGCACACACACACACACACAGAGGATGCACCCACATGCATGCACAAACACAGAGGATGTGCGTGCATACACACACAGAGGATACACACACACATACACAGGGAGAATTCACACACACACAGAGGATGTGCTTGCACACACACACACACACACACACAGTATACACACACACACACACAGCATCGTGCTCCCCACAGCCTCTCCGTGCCCCAGAAGTCACGCTCTGCTCGGTGGCCCCAGCATGTGAATGGCCGTGAGCAGGGCCACCCTGTGCCGATGGGGCCTCTCTCCCCTCGCCCGCCTGCCTGGTGCGTCCCGCCGCTGGCCACACGTACCGTGAAGATGTTGGAGCGCCGCTTGGACTGCTTGCGGATGGGGGTGGGCGTATTGGAGGCAGCGATGGTCTCGATGCGCAGCTCCCGCTGGCTGATGCTGGGGGTGGAGGGCACGGAGGAGGAGTAGTCGCTAAAGGCACCGCTGCCGTTGGTGGCCTGCAAGAGAGAGAGCTGGGTGAGCTGGCGTGCGACTGGGACCTGCCTGCAGGCTGCCCCCCGGGTGGCTACAACCATCCCCCTTGGGTGTGCTCACACTGAGCAACCTCGCACGGCAGGGCCACCTCAGACTGTCCCTGGCGCCCCAGGGAAGCCGGCTCAGACAAGGGCTTGGAGCGGAGGGCACGGAGCCCGCGGGGGACCACACAGCTCACAACAACCCTGACTCCGTGTTCTCCCAGGGCTGGGATGCGGCTCGTGACACTGCAGCGGGGCTGGCTTCTCTGAGGACTGTAGGACTAGCCCCTCAGTGCTGGACCTAGGGGTGCAGTGGGGTTTCCATTGTATGCAGGGTTAGTTCGGTTCAATGCTCTCGGCACCCCCGCTACACAGACTGTCCCAGCAGCCCAGGCAGGGCACGGCTGGCACAATGTCAGCTGCATGAGGAAGGCCAAGAAGTCCTGTGGTAAGCAGTTCTTCTCTCCTGCCCCTGCCCGGGGAGGCTGCAAACACCTCAAAGTAGGCGGCCAGGAGTCCTGCCAGACTCGTAACCCCCCTGTGGCAGCTCCAGATGCGCCTGTATCCAGACAAACCTCTGACCCTTGTCTGACTCCTGCTCAGCCCTTGCACTCCATGCGGTCTAGTGGCAGTGAGTTCCTCAGGCCACGTGCACACTGTAAAGAATGGCTCCTGACTGTACAGTAACCAGCTGTTGGTGACAATTGTCCGGGGGGATCCCACTGCCGGGGCACGGGCGGGGCCTCCTGGCCAGCAGCGTCCATTGGGATTGTGCCGGCATACTGTGCATCCAGCAGCACCTCGCCCGGCGTCCCCCCGGGGATGCAGCCTCCCCCGCCACGCCCTTCCCTCACTGATCGAGTGAGGATCCACACACACCGCTGACAATCCCACGACGAGCGAGCAGCTCCCGAACGAGGCAGGTGGGGTCTGAGGAGGGAGCCAGATCTAGGCAAGGTGCAGACAACTCCATGGTGCAACCCTGCCAAGCTCTCTGGTAGCCAGGTTCCTACGTCTTGCTAAAGGAGCTGCAGCGCCAATACCCACGGGAGGGGAGAGGCAGCTCACAACAAACTAGGCTGGGCCCCTGGGATAACCGGTGGGGAAAAGATTGCCCCCAGAGCTATCACTGCGGGCTGCAAACCACCAGCAACTCCAGAGTGGTTTGTCCTGTCTGGATAAGCAGAAAGGGCTCTCTGAGCACCCAAGGCATGCAGCCTCGCCTCCCTAGGGTGAGAAATCAGGTCGGTCACCTGCCTGTTTCAGATGGGAGCAAGAACGCACCTTGGAGAAGGCTTGGGGCAGGGACTGAGCCTCCCCCATGCCTATGAGCACCACGTAGGAAAGCAAGGCCTCAGGGCTCGCAGCTCACCATCTCTGGCTGTGGCGACAGCCACCGAGAGAGACTGGTGATAAAGGGAACAGTCCTTCCTGGGTCCCAGCAGACCAGGCGGAGCCCTCTAACTGATGGAGTAACGCCCTGGAGGAGTCGGGTGAGCACCCAGTAGGCTCTGGCGGACGGCAGGCAGAGGCTGCAGCCAGGGGGGCTGTGACTGAAGTGACGGCAGGACCGGCTCGCTACAAGCGAAGGAGACAGTTCAGTCCTCGGGGCAGGAGTTTGTACAAGAACCAGGCCTGTCTGCAGCACGGCCCGCTCACAACAAGGCAGCGTTTCTCTGTCACCTGGACTCAGAGTCCTCAGGTCGGCACGGGGAAGCCAAGTGTCAGGCAGAGCCCACGCTGGCAGACGCAGCTGCTCTGACTCCCTGACACCCTCTCTTCCCCTCCGGCTGCAGGTCTGGGTGTCCGCAGCTGCACACCTAACACCCAGCGGCTCCCACCTCAGTTCCTCTGTCTCCACACGCTGGGCTCACACTTCAGCTTCCTCTGCTGCCAATCGTTTAAACTAATCTGCATCGCGGAGGTTTCCAGCGTCTCCACAGAGGCCCAGATGTGGCCAGGCCTCGACAGTGCCTCGTGCCTCCCACACCGAGCTCTTAGTCTCCTGGTCCCAGAGAGAAAGTTAACCCCTTCGCACCCAGCAGGCAGCAACACAAAGGGAGTGGGGACATTGAGTCACACATAGTGTTTATAGAAATATTACCAAAACCTCCTGCATTCTCCCCAGCATGTGCCCCGACATCAGAGGACGGCTGTCCCTCCCGCCAGGTGCTTGGTAAAGCCTGCTGGGGCCACAGCAGGCCGAATGGCCGTGACCTGCACTGGGCCTCGGAGATACCCCAGTGAGCCAGACACGTGGCCACGGGTACGTAAGAGCTGGGAACTGATCTCGAGGCTCTAGGCTGGGCGTAACGGAGGTCGGGGTTACCATCCACCCCTGAGGCACTGGGTGAATTTGCTGGGACATGGTAAGTTCAGGATCAAGTGCACATGCCCAAAAGGAAGGGGGTGGGGGAACAATGGGAGGAGAAACCCTGGCCCCCAAAAGGCGACGCCCCTCACGGAGCACGGAGGCCCCCTCTTCTCAGCAATGGTTCATGAGAAACATCCCCGAAGGGGGAAAGAGACTGGAACTAGCTCCAGTGGCTACCTGGAGAGCCCACGAGCGCCAGGCGAGCGCAGCCCCTGCTGGCAGAACTCGGCCAAGCGGCTGCCGGAAGGGGGCAGCGGGGGCCAAGGCTCTGGCAGGAGCAGAGGAATGAGGCGCCCGAGCTGCCCCGTTGTCCTGGGTGCAGAATGGGCAGAGCTGGACAAGACCCCCAGCCGCAGGAGCTCTCTCGGGGGGCTGGTATCGGCTCTGAGGAGCCCACTGGCCGGTCCGGCCCCGATCACGGAATGGCTCCTTTCAGTAGCTGGGTGCGAGAGGCCCAGGGAACACGGACTGGCTTCAGAGCCCTTGAGGGTGTGCAGAGATCACTGGGCGGGGACGGCCAGGGCTGCAGGATGAGGTGCTCTCTGTGCTCGCTGTCTTCTCCTCCAATGCCCAGGGTCTCGCTGTCTTCTCCTCCAATGCCCAGGGTCTAACGAACTGTCACATGTGCAGCCAAGAAGGAATCTTCCCCCAGGTCAGACTGGCTGTGACCTTTTCGCCTCCCTCCGTAGCGCGTGGGTGCAGATCACTCGCCGGGATTATCTGGGTCTATCTCGCTATCATTCCCTGCCATTGCTCGAGCATGGTGCACCTCAGTCCCACCCAGTCTCTGCCTGCGGCACATCAGTCGCCTCCCGTGTGTCTCAGCTGGGTTGTTGCGCTGAGTGGGCAGGTGCTGGCTAGACAGGTCAGACAGATGATCTGGTGGCATCTTCTGGCCGTTAAACTCTGTGACTCTAAGATAAGGACCAAGGCCATGAACTCTAATAGAAACTCACCCAATGAAAGACGCTAGCAGCTCATTCTGGCAGCTTTGTCCCTGTTATCTCCTCACCACCTCGGCATGTTCAATTCTGTGTTTAATCCTTGTTTCACCCACAATAAGTGCTCCTGGAGTCAGGCTCCCAGGTCTGAGAGTCAGGGACAGTGTTTGTACCTTCCAGGTCTCTGCTGTGGGAGCTGATTTGAATAAAAGACGCGAACTCTCTGCTTGGACCCTTGGGCAGACAAACATCCAGTTCCGGAGACTTGCTGCTCCCTACTGACCAGTGTGTCCAGCACCTCCTCTCGTACACAGCGCCTCACCTTTACCTGCAGGGCCAGGGCAGCCATCTCCCAACATCCTCTCTGGATGGAAGACTGATGGCTCTCCGCAATGTCCTCCTCCTCCTTACCTGCGCCCTTCCCCCAGGGCTCCCAAGAACCCACCCATTTTCTCACAGCCTTCCTGCTTCTCAAACACTCCGACAATATTTTGTTTCGAAGTCTTCGGATATTTGCTCTTTAAATTCCCTCATGCTCCCCAGTTCCGCACACGCCTTACCTGCCGGAGTTTGTTCCTTCTGCAGGTCACCCTTGGCTGCATGTCCCCGGCCCAGGAAGGGGTCTGTTTGCCTCGGGGACCCTGGAACCTGGTCACGTAGCCAGACTGGCTAAGCTCTTGCTGCCCTGCCGCCTTTGCAGTCTATAGTTTCCCCACCTCCTCGAACTCTGTTTTGGTGCCTCCGGGCTCCCACGCTGAGTCGAAAGATTGTAACATCCTCACTTTGGACTCCAGGATCTTCAGGGTTTGGAATCCCCCTACCCAGAGCCGAGTGTCACTGGGCCGGTGTTTGGTACCTTCCCTCCCGTCAGGACGGTGAACTGGCCCATCCCATGGTCACTGGTACTTGGCGGCTCACCCAAGTTACTCCTTGAACCCGCGGCTGTGCGCTGGGAGCACTCCCTGTGCTCCAGGACTAGCTACTCCAAGACAGTCATTTCCAGCGTGGAGAAACCCCTTGTGAGAACTGACTGATTTAAATGCAGGGAGCTGAAGTCCCCCATTACAACTGTTTGCTTAGACCTCGCTGCCTCTCCGATCTCCCTCAGCACTGCGTGAAAGGTCTCCTGTCCCTGAGCTGGGTGCCCTTGGTACAATCTGACCCTTGGGGGGGACGGAGGGGGGGTGCATAGGGCTGGGAGGCACCTCCTGGGTCACTGAGTCCAGCCCCAGCTATCACAGGCCACCCCGTCATATCAGCCCGTTCAGAAACCGATCAGCTCCCTCTCCACCAAATGGATCTGCTGTGTGCATGTCTCTGCTAGGCGTGTTCTCAAGGGATCTGTTGTGCGGAGTGCCCCTCTCCCCCCTCCGGCTGCCCTGCCTGCGTGGGGTACAGCCACCATCTCTGTGCCTGTTCTTCACACTCCCCTCCTGGGGCCAGGCCTCGAGTCACGGCCTTTCACTCATCAGTATCTCTCAGCGGAGCAGACACATTTCTAGAGTTTGTTTCATTCCTTGGTGCAACGCCCCATCCTGCTCCTGGAGCGGTCTGCCCCCAAAGTCTCTCCCCAAGCTCAGCCTGTCCCTGCCCCAGGTCAGCTGGGATTTCTGCCCTGGCTACAGCAGTCCCTTTGGCTCAGTGACCACCCCAGTGGAGGCCTGTGCCTGCCTGACCAGGGCACCTCAGGCCCTGCTGGCATTCCCAGCTCCTAGGCTGTTACCCCCAAACCTGGCCTGCTCTCTGCTGGCTGCCTGGCTCCCTTTGCTGATGGTGGAGCCCATCCCTTCTGCACGGACTCTGCCTTCCCCAGAACCCCATCAACACAACCCCTCCTCCTCCACCACCTTCGGTACCCTGCACTGGGTCCCTGGGGTTCCCCGCAGGGCTGGCCCTGCCCCTGGTGCATGGCAGGGGACAGCCACGGGCCTTGGCATAGAGCCTGTTCCTAGCCCTGGAGCTGCAGCTCCCAGGAACTCATCCCACCCCCTGGGCTCCCCCCAGTGCCCTCTAGGAGCCTCTCCAGGTGCCTCCCACCCGGGGGCAGGTTCCTGCCTGGCTCTCTCAGTCTCCACAGCCTCAGCTCAGGCCTTCCCATAGCACAGCCTGGCAGCTCCCAGGAACTCACCCCACCCCCAGCTGGCCCCTCGGCCCCTGGAGCGTCCCCCACGCTGCGGGAGGGACCATCGGCCTCCCCTACATCCAGCTACGCAGTGTGTCCGCTCCCCCATCTAGAGGGCCCGGGGTAGCCAGGCTAGACTCTACACGCTGCCCCAGGGCTCTGGGGGCCCCATGCTGCTTGCCCTGCAGGCCCGTGGCCCCAGGCAGGCAGTGAGCTGTTCTGGGCCCTAGGCCGGCAGCCCGCCGCCGGCTGCTCTTCCAGCTGCACTGGCTACTCCAGGGTGTGTGTTCAGAGACAGGGGCTAAGCAGACCCAGCCTTGACCTTTCAGTCAGCGGGGGAGTGCTGGGGTGGGGGTCCCATGTCTCACCTGGTTGATGTGCACAGAAGGAATAGAGGCAGCGGAGACAGACGAGTGGCTGGGTGAATTGGGCAGGGACTTGCAGGGCCCTATGGAGAGCTGCTGCTTCTTCCGCAGGGCCACCACCTTCTGAGCCACTGAAAGAGAGAAGAGAGGGGCTAGGGTCAGACGGCTTTCCCCACCCAACTGCATCTCCAGAGCCGTTCAGAGAGACCCCCTGCCTCTGCCTGCAGCCAATACCTGGGGCTTCAAACTGCCCCTCGCTGTGGCACCGGGGACTCCAGTGGCACATCTAGCCTGCGGCTGCCTCAGGAGAGCGCCGTACCACTGCAGTTTGCCCTGCCCTCGGGGACGTGTCCCACAGTTCCCGGCACTGCTCCATAAAGCAGTGGCTTCAGGGGGGTTGTGAAAGATCTTCTAGGAGCCCAGGTGAACTGCAGGAGAAAAGGTCAAATGCCCATAATTTCTTGGGACACACCCATCAGTCTCTGGCACTGGCTCCGTATCCAAGCCCTGGTCTCAGAACGGGGCCAGGCTGAACCCTCGGCTGCTGCAGCTTTGGAAAGCAGTGGCAAGGCACCTGGGGCAGCGGAGCGGCTCCCGCAGGAGCAGAGGAGGGTACAGCAGTTCACACAGCCAGCTCCTGAACTGGGCATGCCCTGAACACACCAGCTAGCCCTGGCCTTCATCCCAGCTGCTCCTGTGATCCGCCTCGAATGCCCCAGGTGCCCCCATCCCAACCGCCCCATCCCTGTCCTCCAACCTGGGCACTTGGCACCTCCATCCTCCAAACTGGGAACCCCCCAGTCTAGACACCCCTCTACCCATGTTTAAACAAAGATAAACACCCCCCTCTCCTGTGACCCACACGGTAAGCACAGGCTCAGAGCCCAGGCCTTCAGTCTCCTGCTGGAGCCCTGCCCACCCCTGGGGACAGCAGACAGCTCTACAGAATGCCTTGAAGGCTGACGCACATGGGAACGGGGGGAGCAGGCGCCCCGGTGAGGGGCCGTGCAGAGAACGCCCTGCCAGAAGTGCTCCTCTCTCCTACGTGTGGGGCTCCAGCCAGTGACCCACTGATCACAACGGCATCAGGACGGCATTGGGAGAGGTGCCCCTCAGACAGGCAGGAATTATTAGCGATTGTAGCTACAGGCACCGCGAGGGACTTTGGGTGGTGAGTTTGCACTTTGGCCGGACGGCCGTTTCCCTCCTGGTTGGTTTGGGTTTGTATTGGGTGTGGCGAGGGAGCACAGTCCGACGGATGTGCTGCCTATGCGGAGACCTTCGGCAGAAATTCCTTCATTGAACGAGCATAAACACGCAGGACAGCTGTGAGATCCACGCAGGGAACACACAGCCCGGAACGAGGGCAGCAGGGCCATGACGTGCGTGTCTTGGGCAGTCTCGTTTTCTCTGCCACCATCACATGCAGGAAAGATGCCTGGCAGGTGAAGGCGCTGCTCTGAATAACCAGGTGGTGCAGAAAACAGCTGCTGTGTCTGTCGTCCTCTCTCTGGAACCGCGGCGCCCAGAGCTCATTTGTCTATTCTGCCATCAGCTCTCGTCCTGGCTCTCTCCTGCTCAAGACGGAGTGTGGACCCCGAATCCCGCCGAGGAACAGATTCTCTCCTGGCCCTGCTGCGTGTACTTGCTCTGACACTCGGATCCCGCAGGCCTGACCCACCCCTGCTCTGGGAGCTGCGGGGGGTTGTACGGATCACTACGAGGAATAAGAAGTGACAGGGATAATCGCCATAGCGACGGCACTTCCACCCTTGGACCAAGGAACGCCAAGCCCAGCGCCGCCCCTGCATCCTACAGCTGCAAGTCACAAGCTCCGCAGCCAGGCAGGGGAGGGGCAGCAACGGAGGGGGCAGGTTTGGACGCACGTGGGGGGCGGCGGTTACGGCTTGCAGGGAAAGAGCTCCCTTCGGAACAGCTGTCTGTGGCGGGTCCCAGCAGGTGGAAGGGGGACAAGCAGGGCCACTGGGGTTCTGCATCCGGAGGATACCAGAAAGCCAAGGCTGTGCGTGTTTCCGTGGGCGCAGGGAAATGCGCTGCTCCCCGATGTGCCCCCCAGCTAGAACAGCGGCTTTATAAACGCTACGCAGGCCCCGCTCCTAAGGACTGGGGCACTGAAGGGCTCAGGAAGTAGGGGCTTCCCTCAGGAGCCAGGGTTCCTAGAGCGCTGCCTTTGCACGTTCACACTCGTGGAGTGCCGCTGAGCTTGGGGAAGCTGCTGGAGGGCAGAGCCTGCTGGGGCCATCCAGGCACTGGAACCAAGGAGCCCAGGGGCTCAAAAACAGCCCAAGTGCCTCAGTTCCTTCTGCTACAGCCCAGAAGCCTGCACGTGGAAGGAGAGCCAGCCCACGAACACCCCCGCCAGAGCCTCTGCCTCGCCCTACTGGGAGTGGGAGTCCGAGCTGGCTGTACAGACCCAGCGGCGGCAGGATGCAGAACTGGTTCCCGAAGTGACTTCAGCTCGACGCCCGGCTGAGAGTGGTGCTGCGTGAGCATCTGCACAGAACTCCGGGAGCAGACCTGCCGATAAGGGGACCTCTCGCTGCAGGTGGGACCCAGCCACCCAAGCCCAGACCCATGAGCACCCAAACCTCCACCAGTACTGCCACAGCCACACTGTTTGCAGCAGGAAGTGTGAGTCTGCCCCAGCTGCAGTGTAGACACACCCTATAGTTCTAGCATGGAAACCTGGCAGAGACAGGCCACTGCTGCCCCCTTCTCCCTGGCAGGGTGAGCCCTCAGGCCCTGCCACCCTAGACAAGACACCGCAGGCTAATGCCACTAGCCGGGTGCTGAGTGGAGACGCATCCCTTGTGCTTTCATCCCCGGAGGCTGCAACAAGTTTAGGAAGTTTCCTAAATGGCGAAGTCCTGGCCAGACAAAAAGCCCCGGCCCTGCTGACATCTACAACGCGGAGTCTGACTTCCCTGGGGGGCGAAGTCCTTGGCCGAGAACAGGGAGATTAGAGAGGTCTGATGCAGGTGGATTTCAGACAGCGCCTCTGGCATACGTTTGGGATGAGGACTCAGGACACGTTAGCCCCTGTAGAATACGGCAAAGGGAGGATCCGTTATTAAAACCGAACCCTCCCTGAGCCAATGTCTGTGTTACGCGCCAGGGTGCGAATCGCATACACGCTACCTGCTAAAACCAGGAGCGGAGCTGCAGTAGCACAGGCAGGGGCTGGCTGTGCCAGGTACAAACCCGCTGAGCCCCCGGGGTACATACTGGGGGCTGCCCCGGCTACCTCGGCGACGTTACGCGTTTCAGCGCGCTATCTCAATGCGCGAGTGCGTCTACGTGACCTGGGGATCGCACCCCTCCCTCATAGCACAGACGTAGCAAGCGGAGTCAGGCTAACGGAACAGTGAGGAAGCCGTCCGGCCAGACCCTCAGCCGGGTAAGTCAGAATAGCTGCCGTGATTCCAGTGGAGCAGCCTCCATTTACACCCCACGAGGATATGGCCCAGGGTCTTCAAAGGCAGGAAGGAGAGAGAGCTCCAGGCGAAGGTCCCATGATGCAGCAGGCTCTCTGGAGGTATTAGCCAGGGCTTCAGGAATCCTGCAACAGCAGGGTAACTAAAATCAGCGGGACTCTCCACTGGAGGGTTCACGGGGAGAAGACAAGGAGCGGCCCAGGGACTTCAGCTCTAGCCAACAGTCCCAAAGAGATTAGACAGGCAGGGGACAGGCAAACATTATCTGCTGCCCACAGAGAACCTTTTCCCTCCCCAGAGCAGAGGGCTTTCTGCATGCCGTCTGCACGCCCGCTGGGCTCAGCAGGTCTGAAATGCTGCCCTGAGATTCAGGCCAGGAGGTGGCGCGATTCCCGAGCAGGAGGCAGGATCAGCCCATCTCCTTGAGACAGCAGGGCTCGGGGTACCAGTAGGAAAAATGAAGGCTCCCGTAAGAGATTTGGGAGCAACCAGCATGACTCGAGCTCTGGCAGTGGGGAGACGCTCCAGCCTGGCCCGGCCATGGGATGGAGTCTCTGGGGCAGAGCGTAGGGCACTTCACACTGATGCTTGCTGGAGAGGGGTCCGCCACTTCTTTAACAGCAGATCCACCGGGGCCTGTTTCAAGCAGGATTCCTGTCCCTGTCATAGATACTGCATCTGGGCTCCTCACAATCTTTAGTGTATTTATCGTCACAGTGCCCCTGTGAGGGGGGGCAGGGCTGTTACCCCAATTTGCAGTTGGAAACTGAGGCAGAGAGAGAGAGACCAAGGGCTTGTCTACATGGGACGCCACTGTGTGGCCAGCTAGGGCGCTGCAGATTCACACTCTGGCTTGTTGCACAGTAATGTCCCGTGCAGACAAGCCCCACGGGACACAGCCAGGATCACAAAGGATGTTTGCTGTGGAGCAGGAACTGAACCCAGGTCTCCAACCACCAGACCCAGCCTTCCTCCCTGTGCCCACGGCCATCTCCAGTGCTCTCTTTGCCGGCTGGATGACGAGCCAAGCACCAGTCCCACAGAGCCATTCCCACCTGACAGGTCTGGGAATATGCACTGGTTTGGTGATGGACTAGGAAGTGTTCACGTGTGATTGGGCAACACAACATCACATCCCCTGAGCAGCAGCACAGACGGTTTTCCAGCCCATCTCCCAGCTCTCGGTTCCAGACACTGCTGCAGAACACGGTCCCCAAACATCTCACTCCCACGAGCTGTCCGCTCTGGGGAACCAGCCACAGCCTTGGTGATCATCCCACGGAGGGGCTCGGAGAACTCAGCTGCACTCCCTTCAGCCCAGCGCCCAGGAGCTCCCACCAAGAGGTGGGCCAGGGAGCACTGCCTCGTCCTCTGCACTGAGTGTGAATCCTGCAGCCTCATTTGCAGCGACGCCAACGTATGTGTGACGAGACCAAATGTCCCTTAGTCCCAGGCAGACTCACACTGATCTCCGAGGATCCTGCCTCAGGAGAAGGGTAACTGGCAAACATCCCTGGAAGAAATGCCTTGGCCTGGCCTGAGCCCTCGATGGCCCCACAAAGGAGATTCTTTGGGCAGGCAAGAGAGTAGACTTGTCTCGAATCCAGAGACCGAGGGCCTGGAACCCCTTGAATGATTCCCTGAATGCCTGAGGAGAACAGGGACAAACTAGCCAA